TGGGCGGGGCCTAAAGGGATGGGCGGGGCCTGGGGCAGCTCGAGGCCTCACCTTCCCCCGGGGGCTGGGGATGGGCGGGGCTTAATGGGGATGGGCGGGGCTTAACGGGAATGGGCGGGGCTTAAGGGGACGGGCGGGGCCAGGAGCAGCCAGTGGGAGCACTGGGAGGAGCCAGCAGGGATTGGCTGCTGGGTCAGGCAAAGGAACCAATCAGGAGCCAGGGCGTGGCTGGGACTGGGCGGGGCCTAGCTGGGCGTGGCTGGATCAGGGCGGGGTCAGGAGCAGCCAATGGGAGCACAGCATATGCCAGAGGTGGGAGGAGCCAGCAGGGATTGGTTGCCGGGTTGGGCAAAGGAACCAATCAGGGGCTGGGCGTGGCTAGGACTGGGCGTGGCCTGGACTGGGCGTGGCCACACTCAGCCAATGGGAGCGCAGGGCGTGGCAGCGGTGGGCGGAGCCAGCAGGGATTGGCTGAGGAGCCAATGAGGGCCCAGGCCACGCCCCTGACCTTGGCCCCGCCCCCAGGGGAGGAGCTGAGCCCCGCCCAGCGCCGACAGATGGCGCTGTTCCTGGTGAGTCTGGGGGGCGTGGCCTGCGGGAGGGGCGTGGCCGGCGGGGGGCGTGGCCCGGCGCTGGCCTCGTCGGCCTCCTGCACGTGGGGGGGCACCTTGAGGGGGTACCCGGGGCCCCCCCGGCGCTCCCGGAGCCGCTGCAGGGCCCGGGACAGCTCCAGGCGGCGCCCCCCGAGCCGGGCCAGCTCCGAGGGGGGGTCCACGACCCCCTGGAATGGGGAGAGACCCCCAGAAATGGGGTTAGGGATGGGGGAACCCCGAAAACCCCAAACTGAGCCCCAAAAACCCCAAACCGGGACCCCAAAAACCCCAAACCGGGACCCCAAACCCCAAACCGGGACCCCCAGAGTGACCCCAAACCCCAAACTGGGCCCAGCCCCGCCCCCCGAGCCGGGCCAGCTCCGAGGGGGGGTCCACGACCCCCCAAAATGGGGAGAGACCCCAAAAATGGGGTTAGGGATGGGGAAACCCCAAAAACCCCAAACTGGGACCCCAAACCCCAAACTGGGACCCCAAACCCCAAACCGGGACCCCCAAAATCCAGGCAGGGACCCCAAAGTGACCCCAAACCAACCACAGGGACCCCAAACCCCACTCAGGACCCCCCAAACCTCCCCAAATTACCCCAAAACCCCAGACAGGGACCCCAGACCCCGCAAAGTGACCCCAAAACCCCAGACAGGGACCCCAAAATCCACATAGAGACCCCCAAAGCCCCCAAGGAACCCCCAAACCTCACTCAGGGACCCCAAAATCCAGAAAGTGACCCCAAAGTGACCCCAAACCAACCACAGGGACCCCAAAACCCCAGACAGGGACCCCAGACCCCCCCAAGGAACCCCCAAACCTCACTCAGGAACCCCAAAACTCCCCAAAGTGACCCCAAACCCCACAGAGGGACCCCAAAGTGACCCCAAACCCCGGACAGGGACCCCCAAAGCCCCATTAAACCCCCCCAAATCCCTGTTAAACGCCCCCAAACCCCCATTTGAGCCCCCCAAGGACCCCCCGAAGCCCCCTGGGACCCCCGGGCCCGCACAGGGGGGTCTCTGGCGGGTGAGGCCGTGCGCTGCCCGCAGGCTCCGCAGCGCCCGCGCAGTGCCCAGCAGGGACCCCAGACCCATTAACCCCCTTTAACCCCTGTTAACCCCCATTGCAGCCCCCCAGGACCCCCCCAGGATCCCCCAGGACCCCCGAGGTGGGTGGGCTCGCACAGGGGGGTCTCTGGCGGGTGAGGCCGTGCGCTGCCCGCAGGCTCCGCAGCGCCCGCGCGATGCCCAGCACGAACTCCATGGTGGTCTCGGCCTCCTCGTCCTGCCAGCAGAACTGGGGAGGGGGCGCGGGGTCAGGGACCCCAGACCCACAAATACACACAGGGACCACAAATATACACACGGGGACCCCCCAAAACCCCCCAAGGACCCCCAAAAAGCCCCCCCGGGGAACCCCAAAACACAGAGCCAGGGACCCCAGACCCACAATGCACACGGGGACCCCAAATACAGAGCCGGGGACCCCAAAAACCTTCCCAGGGACCCCCAAAACCCACCCTGGGAACCCCAAAATACACCCGGGGACCCCAGAAACCCCCCCAGGGTCCCCAAAATACACCCAGGGACTGCCTGGGACCCCCAAAATACAGCTGGGAACCCCAAAAACCTCGCCAGGGACCACCAAAATATAGCTGGGAACACTCAGGGACCCCAAAATACTCCCAGGACCCCCAAACCCCCCCTGGGACCCCCCCTGC